CTTCGTTTGAAGGTTCGAGCAAAACCCCGATCTACACCAACCCACCCCAGATTCACACCAGCCGTTACCCTAGCCTCGCTCGTGACCAAACCAAGCTTGGTTTGGTCCGAATCTACCCACAAATCCCAAAACCCCAAATCTGAAGATTCAAACCCTAGAACACAAGAATTTTTGGAGTCCGGTTAGATTTAAATGGAAGGTTGAGGTCTAATAGACCCTAATCGAAGTGTTCTCGGTCGAGAACACCTCGATTAAGATCTGTTCGACCTCAAATGGGCAAATCCAGCTCGGGCTTGGGTCGTTTGTGTTTAAGCTTTTCAGAGTAAGTTCACTCTTCTCTTTTGTTGCTTGTCTTAGTTTAGTTTGTCAGCATGTTTAATTAAATTTGTTTGTTTATTTCTGGGATTCTTGCTGTCAGTTGTTCTCCCTCTCCATAAGACCTTTTGATCGGTCGATTGTTACTCTACTTATGCTTGAATACGTATAGTGATATACATATTTCAATTTGATTAATATCGTCGAATCAATAATGCCTGTGGTTTCCCTGTGTCGTGCAAAATTGTCAAAGACAGTTGATGCCCTATTTGTGTTGTTGTCTGATCGACTGTTTGTTTCTATGTTATAATTAGTATAGTCGATTCGATATAGGTCGTCAATTAGTTTCAGTTTGGAATGGTATTTATCTGACTCATATGGTTGATTTGCTTACTGAGGCTTCTGAGAATTGATTGCACTATGCTTAGCCTGTTTATTTGAATCAGAAATCACCTAAGGTTTGGATAGTTGTTAGTGTTAGCAGAGATTGCAGATTGTAGTTCAATTTAATGGCATGTATGCTCACTTTTGACCTTGGGCAGCATGTGTTTTGTCAGAAGTTAGGGAATTAGAGTAGAATGGACATCATGTGTTGTCAGGACATACTCATGCTGCCCATATTTGCTTAATTTAATAAAGATAGACCACTTTAACAATGAAAAAGGGGGCTGTCAGGGGAATCTCATGGGAGGGGCTTTTATTTTAATCTGTTGAGTGGAAAAAACAGGAGGAGAACATGGGAGGGGGTTCAGTTTGTTTAACAGGCTGTTTGAATGGGCTAATAGAGGATAGAAAAACAGATGGTTTTCCATTAGTAGGGGGAACGAACAGGAAAAATCAGAAAAAAAAGGAAAAAAGAGAGAAAAGGGATCAGAAAATAGGGAGGCAGAATAGTTTGAAAATCAGGAAGAGAGCAAGAGTTTTAAACCAGAAAGGAAAAGTTTTCCAGGGCCTTAGTATGTTAAAAGCTAGGTTTCACAACAAAGAACTTCAGTTTGTCTTCTGGTCAGAAATTCAAAAACCAGAAACTACTGTTTTATTGTTTCTGCTTGCAATCTTCTTGTACTGTTGGTATTTATCGGGCAGCCTAGTTGTCTGTTGATTTTCAAGCACTACTCTTCAAGCTACTGGCTTCTTCTTTGGGTTTTATTCTTTCCTGGAGATTTCTGCTGCTGTCATTACTGGTTTTACTAGTCCTGTTGTACTGCTGCTTTGTGTATGCTACTGCTGCTCTACTGACTTTTCTGCCTCTTCAATTGTAAGCATTTCTAGGTACACACTTGAATCTCATACTGATGTAACAGTAAAAGCATGAAATGAAAGATGCAAAGGAGTTTAATCAGTTGCCGCTGCACTTACAACTTTATAAACGTTGTCAGAATTGTGTAATTCTTTAGTAGCTCAACAGAAAAATACATTGGTTAGCTTGTACTTAGTTGAAACTTAGTCTTGTTTAAATATTGTGATCTTGGTTATTTAGCCATTTGTATGATATGGAATGCATAGGTGTTTAGTATATCAATAGCTAAATCTCACCTCTATTCTTATTTCAAACATGCAAATCAGGTTGCTTCTAATTTGGGCGAAAATGCAATATAGTTTCAAGTCATTTGAGCTAACTCTGTCAAGTCCGGATTCCATTAGGCAGTTTCGAATCCTATTAGTAGCATCTTCTAATAAGTAGTTGATTCCATTAATCAAGCCCAAATAAGTTAGTTTAAATTCGAACTTGAAGAACATTTAGTGTAAGTTTAGCATTTTCATTAATCTTGTATGTAATCTCAATTAACAAATTAACAGCATGTTCACCCATGAAATAAGGCACGAAAAAATTCTCGCCTCATAAACAACTAATCAGATAATTAAACAAGAATCCGGAGTTGGCCAAGCATGCAATTCAATTAGTATGTATTTTCTTCCTTCCATTTCTTAGAGACGAACATAATAAAGATGTAGTCATTGTAGGTTTATCCTTTCATAAAATGAGACGAACCTCGCCAAATGATATGCACAAACTGCGGGCCCTCATAAATGTATATATATTAAAAATACTTAGAATTTGGGATGGGCTGTTTAAGCGAATTCCACGGCCTTCCTCAAAGATAATAACGTGTTAGTCTTTTTAGGCATGTTTTTAATAATGTTATTTTCCTAAATTAGGGTGCGCATTTATGTGACCCAAATTCAAATCTCAACGGAGTCGGAATGTATTAGCAACCACGGGTGCATTGATTGTGACGTGGTTCGAGATACATTTCCACGACATTGCAATTCCATAAAAAATAATAATAATAAAGCAGTTTAAACTTAATGAAAGCATATACGTCATAACATGTATTAAAATCAGATATTTAGCCATTATAACAATTTAAGCGACCGTGCTAGAACCACGGGATTCGAGGGTGCCTAACACCTTCCCTCGGGTCAACAGAATTCCTTACTTAGAATTTCTGGTTCGCAGACTTCATTTGGAAAGTCGAAAATTTCCTCGATTTGGGATTCAAGATAAACCGGTGACTTGGGACACCAAAAGCCAAACCTTTCCCAAGTGGCAACTCTAAAATAAATAAATAATCTCATTTTCGAATATTGTCACTTAAATTGGAAAAACTCCCTCGCGCATTAACCCTTCGGGGCGGGCGCGCAAAAAGGAGGTGTGACAGGAACGACAAAAAATCACTCGGGCCAAAGTCGTATCCATAAAACACTAAAATGTCGTATCCATACAATGCTAAAACGACACGCACCTCGGCCATGGACGAGGTCGTGTATTCAGAATGCTTGAACGACGAATTGGATGTTACGGTATTTCAGAGGGTCAACCAGTAATACAGTCCATTAGTTTAGGTACTATGGCTTTTGACCGTTGGGTAAATGATGATACCTAGTATATAATCTAAGTGAGAAGAAGAAGAAAAGGGGGCTGAAACAAACTCACACAGAGACATATTTTCAGAGAAGAAGGATCTTCATCTCTTTCTCCTCGCTAAAGAGAAAGAATCAAGGAAGCTCAGATCTTCAGCATACAACGTTAGTCTCATCACATCAAATGCATGGGGTCAATCTTGTTAAAGATCGGTGACTATTTTTATCTATATATTCTTCATTATTGTTCAATATTATGAAAATCACCATCCTCTTTTTATATTACGGGATTCAATTATGGCTATGATTAAATTTTATGTTCAGCTATGCCTGCTTGTTCTTATCATCTGTCTCAGATCTAGGATGAATTATCGTTGGCTAGGATCTACCTCAAATCTTCCTATTTAATTAATTTATAGAAAGACTTAACACTTTTTAGGCAAACAATAATAATAATAATAATGATGTACGTGAAGACATATATGAAGAAAATTTATTTTTTGCACTTTCTTAATAAATTATTTTTTATTTCTGGACTATACATTTGGTAGTAGTGGGAATTAAGATATAAACTTTATTTACAACTAAATTCCAATTTTACAAAGGTTAGTACTGCTTAATTTTAATATTTATCGCTTTGACTTGTACATGAGGTTTGTGACTCGTTTGATTTGTTTATTTAATAATCATTAATTTGCTAAGAAGTAAACAGCTATGGAAAAACAGTACTGCTTGCTTAGTCATTGATTGAAAGAAAAGGTTACTACTAGTGATTTCTATATAATAATAGAGTGATTAGTTAGCACAGTAACACCTCAGGCGAATCTTACATCGACAAAATATGAAAGACATGCTTAGTTATATAAGAAAGCATGTCCTAATAACGTAGTTTAAAGGCATGCAAGCCTAGAGCCAAAAAATGGATAATATTACTAGTGGGTTGGGTTGTTATGATATCAGAGCCACTCGCATCCAACCTTGAGCGATGATGGACCAAACCCCAGCTAAGATACTAAGTGCCTAGGGAGGGGTTTATGTTACACCAAACACGAGAATGATGTTGCTTATACAATAAACCCTAGTGATGCTCATACGAACCTAAGCCCAAAGAGAATAATATCACCGGTAAGCTGAGGTTTTACAGTTGCATTTAGCAAAGAGCTGATTATTTAATCTATCTTTAACACGTCAAATGTCAAGATATTCATCTTTAATAAATGCCACAAATAAATGGTACACGCTTTTTTCTGACAGAAAATAAATATGCCTCTACCAATTTATCCTCGAATCAATCCACCAAGGGATGATATACATAATTTTAACGAAATGTTCAGATCATCGACTTAGGTTATCCAAGAAAAAGAATACGTGAACCAAAAGCCTTCTATCCAAGTTAACCATTCTTTTCTTGTGGAGTCTAAGAAAAGAATCTGGACGAAAGGGGAAAGATCGGTGGTTTAAGAATTTTAAAAAGATCAAGAGTGGTGTATTTTTGGAATTATTGTAAGAGAATTTACGTTGTATTTTGATTATTATGTTTTAATTTCAAAAATAAAAATAAAACCGAAGTGTTTGGACCCAAAAAATAACAACAACCCAGTAAGATCCCACAAGTGAGGTCTGAAAATGGTAGAGTGTACGCAGACCTTACCCCTACCCCAGAGGGGCAGAGAGGCTGTTTTCGAGAGACCCTCGGCTCGAAAAGCTTGGAATTGAAATGCATTTTGACCTTTGATATCCCTTTGCTTGTATGTTATAGAAGACCTATTTCACCGCTCAGTGTAAATGTAACTGGTGAAGGCTTCCTCTTTAAAGCAATAGTAAATTCTCAAACATCACATGCTAATCCATGAATTACAAATTATAATATAATTTGCATGGTATTTCCAATAAAATCCTACCTCACTGGACTCTTCTAATCATATACATAATGACATTTAACGTAAAGATTCCCGGAACAATATCCTCTAAGAATATCATCAAAAGAAAATAAAAAAGTTAAAACAGTATTTCTAATCACATCAAAATGATATGAAATAGAACGAACAACATGCCAAAAATTGGAATTGGGAAATATCTACTGATGAATAAAATACAATAATACTGAATCTCAATCACCATTCACTCTTCTGACATCAGAACCAGGGGTGGCTTTCTCTCAACAGTTGTGGAGCTATGCATTTTGACGTCTAGCAATGTCTATACCTATAAGATTCAAAGGGAAAAGTGTTTTAATATTAATTGCAGAAGAGATTTGCAAACAATGGCTAAACATAATCAAGTGAATCCCACATCTCCAGACATAATAGAACATAGTTGCTGTCTCTAACGAGAGTAGAAAATAAACGCATTCTTGTAATGACAGCTTTAGTTCAACTGTAGTCTAGCATTTGCGACGTCTAGCCGTCCACCCAAAAAAAAAAAAAAAAAAAAAAAAAAAAAAAAAAAAAAAAAAAAAAAGAGTAAAGATGAGATATGTGAAAAGTTGAAGGAGAAAATAGAGAGAACTTCGTGTATTTTTCACCTGATTCAAATGAACTGGCCTATATATAGCTATGCAAGGAAATACATAAAGAAAGTTCGAACACAATAAATAAAAGATGATGGTGCATTTATTGCACCGCTGGAACATTTATTATGTTGGCATCGAAGACCTCGACTTCTAACAAGATCAAGTTGACTTCACGGATATAAAGTGCTAAAATTAGGAGTGTCGTCTCACGTGTAGAAACATCTCTAGGGAGATTAGCTCTCAAGATTTGCTAGAATATGTAATTACCTCACCTGTCAAAAACAGAGGGAGAGGGTACAAAATGCAAAGAAGTCTTCAAAAGTATGGCTTCTAAAGGGACCTGAAATTCCCCAGCATATAATCGTAATGCTTACAAACATCCCAATGTAGACGGCACCATTTAGAAGTTAAAACATTACGTGTGTCAAGCAAGATAGAGGATCTAACTGCTGCTACTTCTCAAATTTCAGAGCAATTAGCACAATATTTCCCTAAATGGCAAATACAACAATCATCTTAATGGCTATATGAAACTACACGTACATTTGTTGATCAAGAAAACTATGACTAGATCATATCTTAAAGTTGTGAACGACAAGAAATTTTTCTTTCCAGGTGAATACGAGTCAATGCGCACATCAGACAATGGAAAAGAGAAACCTAGAACAAACAACATCTCACAAAGTACATATCAATCAGAAGTTAAAACAGCTCGATTAGAAGATGAGATTTCCATTTACCTTTTATGTGTGGACCCATAGGGGTTCCAAAGAGAATGACTTGTCATTTCGTGTCTGAGCTGCAGCAGCTCCTCCTGGAGGTGCATGCACAGTTATTGGAAGTACCCACTCACACTTCTCTCTACCCTCTACCAAAAGAGGATGCTCATATCTGATATGTTATACATGAAGCACTTTCAGAAACAAAGAGGGATAAATTTGAGAATTTAGTGAATTCGAGGAACAAATACCAAATTAAGAAGGAAAGTCTACAAACAAAATCAGATAGACATTGCACGGATGAATCAGGACATAGCGAACGAAGAGGGGAGAAGAGTTCATCAAGATTACAACTATGGCGCAATTGATTAGACCATATAAATTCCTTTCATTAACATATTCTCTTTAAAATTGAATCAACTATATTTAAGGAAACAAACTGAGAGCATGCTTCAACCTTCCGTGATTCACTAGAAATAATTATGTCAAAGAGTTTGCACTTTGACATAGAAAAGATTGGAGTTTAATCATGTAGAATCTCGAGGTGTCGTTGATTATCCACTTTGATGGAAGTCGTTCACTGGATTTGGATACTGATAGCAAGAGAGTATTTCCAGTTAAAGGTTTCTAACTTAAAGAGTTAAGACCCATCCTAGCAATACTGAATATCCTAGGATAATTGAGAAAAGACGGAGACCATCATCATGATCATTTCATCTATTGGGCACTGCTTCATGAACCATTACCCAAATGATATTAAGAGAAGAGGTTCAATATTGGACGCCCAGTGCTACTTATGTTTGAGGGAACAAGTGACAAAATATTCTTCTCCAATGCGAGTTTCCTAGAGAATCTGGCATTTGTTTATTCCGAAGGATTATACCATGCACAATTGAGCCTTTAGCTTCTTCATGATTTCCCTTGACTAAAATGGAGATCAGTAGTACATAACTAATGGTCTGCAATTTGATTCAACAGCTCACGCATTCTACATGGATTCACAGGCATGAAAGAAATAAAAGGTGGAATCAGAAAAATTTTGTGCACAAAATCACTGTCAAATTTCTCATATCCCTTATATTTGGTGGAAATAAGAGGCCATTTAAGTAGTTGAAGAGCTGATGTACTTCTAGCCCCTTTTGATTGTTCATGATCTTTTTCAGCTTTTAGTAAGTCTACAAGCCTCTTTTGTATGATTACTGTTCTGCTATGTGCTTTACTCTTTATCTGCACCCTCTCAAAACAGAACTCCAGTCTTTAATCAATGACTCATGCAATGTTATCAATCCAGCAAAACATTCCTGTTACATGAAAAAACGGTCATACCTTGACCAGTCAACATTCTTGGGAGTGGTAAAGAATTCAAATCGAAGAGCCCATTGTACGGAGACATAATGAGTGGAAAAAGACATAGGACCATCCATCGGAATGGAAAAAATAAAGCTTGTCTGAATTAAATCAGCAACCACTTCATGATGATCACTATGAACCTGCATAATTCAAAATGCTTTGGTTACTAATCACCAAATGAAGGGGGGCTCAAGCGTTTATCTCTTTCCAGATAAAATCCGTCAAAAAACTTTTGCTCTATCAAATGCAAAGAGTAGTAAAGAATCATCAACAGATATAATACTAGATTACTAGTATCACTAAAATAATACCTTGGTAATAGAAGGAGCATGTCTCCGTGAAGGATGTACAAAACGTCGGCTTATAGTCTCGGTCATCTCCAGTGTTATTAAAAGCTAGAAGGCAACAGAAAGGAAAAATAAACTCCAGAGAGCACAATAAAGTGATAGTAATCCATATGTCTTAAGGCTTATTCCAAGCATGTATTTTGATATATAAGACTACCTCAAGGCATCTTCTAGAACCCTCTTCATGAAAAAAGGTCAGGGTTCCACCTATCTGTTGCAAAAAAATGAAATACAGGTAATGGTTCCAGCCAGTCTGATGCAAATAGGCATTGGTGATAGCACTAACATGGAAGGACCAATACACTGAATAATACAATTACCATATCACTGAAGTAATATGTCGACTCAGAATTTTTTGGAGAAAACCTTAGAAGCACTTGGTCATCTAGTCTGATGTTGTAAGACCTCCCTCGAATAAACCCTTCTGCTGCAGTAAATGTTGCTAAACGATTATCATCAAGGATATTTTATCACTTAAAGAGTATATGGAGGGAACAAATAGTAGATATTTAGATCTGAGTGCAAGCTTGATTTACATGCTCCAGATTCACCCATGCCTGAGACAGAAGGTACTGTTGAATCATCATATTTGGAAAAGGATTTGGTATTTTTCAGCTGTTGACTTGGAGAGACAATAGCAGAAGACTTGCTAGGGGACAAAACATCTGCTGGAAGAATAAAATAAAACCCTCAGTTCTTTTTTGCTTAAAATAAGATAAAACTGTCAGCTTGACTAAGAGGAATTGTAACATTTCCATTTTGTTAAAAAAGGCATAGAAATAAAAAATCCTATTTCCTCGAAGATACCTATTGGACAATGAAAACACATACTCTCTCTATCCCACTGTATGTGACACTTTCCTTTTTAGTCTATCCAAAAAAGAACGACACCTTCCTATTTGTAAACTATTTAAAATTAGCATCCAAACTTTACCCTTAATGACGTTACTTGTTTGGACCCACTTAATATAAAAGTTCATTATTTTACTAGGGGGATTATTTGTAGTAAGGGCAATTTTGGTACTTCGCATATATTTAGCTTATGTGTCAAAAGTTTTATCAAACTCTATGGGCAGTCAAAATCCTTCACATAAAATGGGACAGAGGGAGAATAAATTTTCTAAGACTAATGCTATTCTCTGAAACTACTTCAGTGGTAAACGACGCTTCATATGCATGTAGATTNGAAACTACTTCAGTGGTAAATGACGCTTCATATGCATGTAGATATGTGTGTGTTCGTCTTACCCCCATTAGAATCATACAAGACATCAGCCACAGCTATCTGTGGAAGTGCCAGTTGTGAAGATATGCTCGACCGTCCTTCAAGATGTGGAAGATCTTTGCTTGAAGACCTTGCTAAGGAAGACTGCAAGGATAATGAACTTCCAAATGTTTGGTGTATATTATCTTTCATGGGATTATAGGAGGAAACTGACGAGACTTCATCCCTTGAACTTTCATATCCTTCCTCCACACCATCAAAAGTTTCATTTATTTTAGCCTGCAGAACACACAAAATCTCGTCAACAACTCAACAACTTCTATCCAGTTAACCTCTTTGTGCTCGTATCTCTTTGATTATCCTGCAATAAACTACTAACTAAAAGTGCTGCATTGGCATAATCCAATCCCGCCAGGGAAAAAGAAACAGGAAACAAGAAGAAGCAGAACAAAATAAAGAGAAGGAATTGCCAAAAAGAAGAAGGAATTCAAGATGCTTTGAGGATACAATCAGCCCTATTCAGAAGATTAAGATGAATTGTATTCTTCTTTTTTGTTTTTGGTGCAAAGCGCAAAGCAGAATATAGTGTTGAATTAGAATCAATCAACAAGTCTTAGATTCCTTGCAAGAAGAGCAAGGATTGTAATTTGTGTGCTTTTTTGATTTTCATGTACACATCTTTCTGGCTTCCAGCATAAGTTTTGTGCTGAAGATTTATTAATATACTGCTATATGTTACCTTCTTCAAAAAAAAAAAAAAAGGAATTAAAGAGGGGTCTGCTTGTCCAGAATCTAACACTGTTTTCTCTTGACAAGTACAATTTTGAAGAAGAGAGATTTTCCTCTCTCATCCATTCTTCCTGGTGTACATCCACGACATAGCGGATATTGAAATTCTGAAGTCTCCAGGAAATTAAAAGGCCACCATTCCATTTCTTTCATTTAATCTTCTTACATTTCATGCAATATCAGACCTTGCTCTATTCCTAAATGATAATGGCTAACCAAATCTAAGTAAATCTACTTCTAGAGTGTTAATGCTAGATCTGTTGACTGCTATAATGTTGGGGCACTTATGCTGAACAAAGCAAGTTTTGTTTCAGTTATCCTCCTAATTTGAACCCTATTGGCAAAAAATGTTTTAATTGGATTAATCATTTCTAGGAGGGCCTATGGCGTCAAGGGATTCTAGTCCTGACAAATTGCCTGATATTTAGACAGTGCAACAAAATCCGATAAAACCTCACAATCAAATAACAAGAGTGGAGAGCTCCAAATATGTAATTTATTTTTTTCCTAGCCTGACAGTCCTCTTCTCTGTATTCTTAATCTATTTTAATAAAAATTCTTTTTAATTATTTAAAAAGACAAAGAAATAGAGAAGATTCAAAAAGTCCTCTACTTCACTTTCACGCCTCGTAGCTTTTTTTTTTTTGGCAATCCACTAGGCAAGTGCCTAGGGCTAGTTTTTTATTAATAAAAAAGAAAAGAAAATACAACAATTAGGAAAAGCACAAATAAGGGGGACAATAGCACCGGTATTATTGCTCATATGCCTTGGCTATATAATCACTCCTCTGCGCCTTCCACTGCCTTATGATGACAGCCTCATGTAGAGGATTCATGGTGTAGCTGTCGGCAACGTCTCACGAGGGCATATAATCTCATAGCCGTGTGGATATTTTTTCCAAAGGCATAGGTCTAAGGCAACACAAATCGGGCTAAACCTTACCTGTAGAAGCAAAGTTTTTTTTGTGATAAGGTAAATTGTATTAATCAAAAGGGAGAGAATCTCCCGTATACAAGAAGTATACCAAAAAGTAGAGAATTTACATCAGAACATGATTCTCTACAAAAGACGCCCAATCTTCTATACAAATAGGGGCTGTATGAGTGCACCAAAAAGCGATCAAAGATAAAAGACTATTCTTAAGATGTGAAAAAGGAGACTCAATCCCCTCAAAAACTCTCCTATTTCTCTCCCCCCAAACTATCCACATGAGACCTAACGAGGCAAACTTCCATGCCTTTTGCTTTCTTCTTCAACGGAAACCGGCCCAGGTATATAGCATTTCCTTTACAGTGCTTGGCATCACCCATTGAACACCAAAAAGGTTCAGGATCGCATTCCACAAAGCCGAGGACACAGGGCAATGCAACAAAAGATGATCAACTTCTTCCCCTGAGCTTTTACACATATAGCACCAACTAACAAGTGTAATCCCCCTCTTTCGAAGATTCTCAACAATCAAAATCACTCCCCTCGCCGCTAGCCATGCAAAAAAGCACACCTTCGTGGGCGCCTTAGGAATCCAGATCGAGGAGTATGGAAAAGAGACATCCTCTCTCACCAGCATACTCTGGTAAAAGGACTTTACGGTGAACAGACCATCGCCACGCAAACCCCATCTCCAAGAATCATAAGATGGATGAGGCCTGTCTTGCCCATATATCACTGTCAATAAATCTTAGAGCTCAGCAATCTCCCAATCTTGCATGTTCCTTCTAAATGAGAGGTCACATACTACTTCCCCTTCAGGCTCCTTACGAATCTGTTGGACCATCAATTCCTTCTGGTTTGAAACTCTGAAGACGTGGGGGAAGGAGACCCTCAGAGTATCCTCTCCACATCACCTATGATTCCAAAAGTTGATCCTCCTTCCATCTCCCACCCTATAAGATATGTTGCCACTGAAGGATTCCCAATTCTTCATGATGCTCCTCCACATGCCACACCCGAAAGGTGTTGTGATTGCCTTGGTCCTCCAACCCCCTCCCGTGGAATCGTATTTTTCTACTATGACATCTCTCCATAGAGCATGCTCTTCTACCCCGAATCTCCACAGCCATTTCCCCAACAAAGCTCTGTTGAATACTCTAAGATCTTTCACTCCGAGTCCATCCCACTTCTTTGGGGAAGTGACTGTCTGCCAATTCACTAGATGATATTTTCTAGTTCCATCTGATGCATCCCAAAGAAAATTCCTTTGAAGCTGCTCCAATTTTTCTGTGATGCTCACATGAGCTTGCAACAGGGACAAGTAATAGGTAGGCATACTCGATAAAGTGCTTTTAATGAGCACTTCCTTTCCGCCTTTTGACAAGTACCGTTTCTGCCAGCCTGCTAATCTTTTTTCAACCCTTTCGATCACTGGATTCCAAACCGTAGTATCCTTATGCGAAGCACCCAATGGGAGACCCAGGTAAGTAGTGGGAAGGGAGCCCACCTTACATCTGAGAACATAAGACAAAGCATCAATGTTAGCAA